AATTTCTTATAATAATTTTTTAAAAATTCTTTAAAAATTTATATGTTTGTATACTAATTGAATTATTTATCATTAATTAAAGTCATAAAATTTCTTAAAAATTATAAAAATCATAATAATAAAAGTTTTACTTTATATAATATTCTTTTATAATTAATATAATTAAAAGTAAATCCTAAAAAGTTTATCATAGATATAATTTTTTTAAAAATTATAAATTTTAGCTTCTAAGTAATCTTAAACTTTTTAATATATAATTAAAAGATAAAACTTGCTTTAATTTATTATATATTTATAAAATTAATTTAAAAAAATTTTAAAAAATATTAATTATTTATAAAAGTAAATCAAAAGAGAATTTATAGTAAATAAATAGACAAATTTGCTTGCAAAACCTTATAATTTAAGGCAGTGATAGGTTTTGAACACGTTTTTTAATTTTGAACAAGGTTTTGGACATATGAAATTGTGTTCAAAATCTGTCCAAAATTATCTAAAATTGTCTAATTTCCTAACTTTAATTTAAAGGATAAATATATTGAAAATTATTTTATAATAATTTATTTAAAAAAAATATAATTGATGCATGATGATCTTTTGATCAGCATGTTAATTTATAATAAAAAAAATTGATTTTATTTGTTTATTGACGTTATTTTCTCTCTTTTTTATATCTTCTAATTCAGTATTTTTTAAAAAATTATTTAAATATAATGGTATAAGATTTATTTATAGAACTATAGGTATTTATAAAGCTATTAGCAAATCTTTTTTATATATATATATTATATAACTTCACTTATATTTTACAGCATAATTTAACTACTTTAGTCAAATGAAATTGCCTTTTATAGTTTAAATAAAGTTGTTTAGTAGGTATTAAATATTTATATATAAATATTTATAAAAATTGATTAGATGATTGTGAAGTTATCTATATTTTTCAAAAGCAAATTATCAAAAATAACTCTGGTTTATACATAACATATAATTTTATCACTTTAGTCAAATGAAATTACCTCTCAAAGTCTAATTTAACACTAAGATGCATTTTGTATTATAATAATTAAATATAATTAAAGAAAATATTATATGAAAAATGATATCATTTTATATAAATCATTTTGAAGTATTACTAATATTATGTGAAAAGTGATTATAAATAGTTTATTTATTAATTATTTGATATACAAAAATGTTTCTTTCAGTGATAGTAATTAACATATAATTGTGATTGTATATAAATATTATAATTTTGAAATATTAAAATTAAGTGATTATACATGTAGATAGGTGTGATTATAAATAAGATGATTATAGATAGGCTTGATTGTAATACATTTAATAATTTACCAATTCCTAAAATAGAGAAATTATCACTTTTAAATTTATCAGATAGTTTCTTATTCACCTCTATTATTATTAAAAAAATAATTTAAATTTAATTACAAGTAAAAAATAATAATGATTCTTTACTACAGCCTTCTTCACTTAAAATAATAGAAGAAAACCCTTTGATTTTTTGAATTTAAAGAAAAGATTTATGAAAATTTGAATAAAAAATATGGATTTATAAATTATGAGGAAATAAAAATAATATATAAACAGAAAATAGTAATAAAGCTTGATAATGACAATTTCATAACTTATCGATGATAATCAGATAACAATAGTCAGATCAGATAATCTTTTTTTATTCTATACCGATTTATTAAATTGTTCCCACATAATTTTTTTTCGTTACCTTACAAAATCTCATTTTCTTACTTTTTTAACTTTCAACTCTTTAAATTCTGCTGCAAGCGCTATTTAATTTAATAAATAATATACCGTAGCTCTAACAATGATGGAAAATAAGTAAGTTTTCATTTAATTTATACTGAATATTTATTACCAAACGGTATATATTGAGTCAAGAAGAGTACTTGTTTTTGGTTGGATTATCAACTTGACTTGTTTTTATGAAGCGAAAGTACTATTCTACTTATGATTTACTCGTAAAAACAACTTTCACTAGGATTTATATCTAACAAATTTTATTTTACTTCTTTTTAAAAAAATTAGGTTATCATCTGCGGAAACCTATCAAAAGCCGGTAATTCGTTCAATGCCTTGGAACCATTCAACAAGGACTGTTGAAGATGGAATAGAAACAGTGCTAACCCCCAAGATTGCACTGCAAATTGTAAGGTTGATTATTTCAAAAAAAATAGTTCAACATTATAGAGGTTTATATAGTGTAAAAAATATAAAAGCGCACAATATAGAAGCGCAAAATAATCAAGGATAATCTTGGGAACTAAAGATAAATTTTTTAGACGCTTATGTTGATCCAATAAGTTGGTTAAAGAGTGATGTTTACAGCATCGGTGTAATTTTATGGGAGATATCAAGTGGTAGTTACATCGAGGCGAAGAATACGACATTCTTCTGGTAGAGATTAACAGAAACAATTTAAATTTTATGTCGGTGTTTGTATATAGGACATCGTTTCGGGTGCAAGTGGAAGCAAGAATTGTTTAGAAGCTCACTTGTTTTAAAGTGGTGGATAAATAGTCTAAATTCTTTAATTAATATTTGTTAGTTTCAAGTTTATGATTATACTATTTTGTTTATAATTAATACTTTTAGTTAAGTTTCCCTAATCTCAACAAAGTAAATTATATAGTTTTATTAGGTTCCAATATTTATAAGTTTCGTCTTATGGAATTTGTTAGGTTAAAGTTAGAAACAATAAATAAATCGCAGGTATATTTTAACACAACCAGTTTGGCAACTATATAAAATTTTTTGAATTTTACATATATATAATTTAAAAACAAAATTGAGTATAAAAGCTAAAAATAGCAAATTTTTCTCTTATATAAAAAAAAAACTCATATCTTCTAAAGCAAATTGATAAAATAACTCTATACAAGTATTTTTATTTAAATTTTTTTTATTTTATTATAATGTATTACTATTTAATTGATAATGGTCATAAAATTGTTTTAACTTTTAATGAAAATTATTTTATTGAATAATTATAATATAGTAATTAATATTTTGATTTAGAAATATATTAAAATATAAAGTAAAAGTAAAAATGATAAATGAATTTTATATTCAGATTTTTTAATAATATAAAATTTATTTATAAAAATCTTTTATATATCAAATATAATTTTTAATAATATTTAATATATTATATAAGTTTATTTTTTTAAATAATAAAAAATTTTAAGAATTAATATTTCTTTTAAATTTGTAAATAAATTTACTTATTTGATATTAAAGATGAGAGACGAAACTCAAAAAAGGCAATTAATAAACAGCTGAAATTATATTAAAACATAGTTAGGGATACAACAAAACCCTGAAATCCAAAATTAAGTAAAACTATATTAAAAACATAGTAAGGGAAGGGATATGACGAGGGAGTTTCAGCTGACATCTTTATTTGATATTTTAAAAGATTAAAAAATTTCTTTATTTAATTACCTTTTTTTTTTTTTTAAAAAAAATATATTACTATATATTGCTGGCCATAGTATCCCTCCTATATATTGATTGTATCTTCCCCTTTTTTTACCCGAAAAAAGGTTATATTTTCTATTGTTTTTATTATTTAAAAATCTAATTTTAATCAGAAATTATGCATTAAACAATTTTCAGATAGTTATACAATTCTTTAATACATTCTATTTCTGTATTTATAAAAGTTATAGACTTGGTAATACAAGGTCAATCATCCAAAATTTGCAAGATATCCAGGGTACTATGACCTGCAATTAAAATTTTAAATAATAAAATTTCTTTGTTATTATATAAGAGATTTGTTAAGAATAAGGTTGCTAAGCAAAATAAAAAGTTTAGACAGACATCTAAATAGTAAAGGTAAACCTTAGTTAAATTATATTAAAATCTTATTAAAAAATCTGCAAAATTCAGAAAAAGATAAAACTATATCAAAGCTTATAAAAATGGCAAAACTATATCAAACACTTAGTAAAAATTTAGCAAAACTAAAGGTTTAACCATTTAGCTAAATCCAAAATGAGTTTAGACAGGCAACTTAGTTAAGAAAATAAAAAAATAGAATTCTGAAATTTTTTAATAAAATTTTAATTTTTATTGAATATTAATTTTTGAAATTTAAATTTTATTTAAAAAAAATTCTTAGAATCACATTCTTTTAGCAAACTTTCCATATATATTAAATTAATAATAATTACATAACTTAAATTATAAAAATATAATCTTTACCAAAAAATTATAAAAAAGTATATTATTATATAATAATAAATTTTAAGTATATTAATTAAAATTTTTTAATAAAATATAGTTATATATATATTAATAAAAGAATCTATTTTATTTATTTATTAAAGTATTATTATTAACAATAATTTGTATTTTTTTATATAAAATTTATATAATTTTATAAAAATATTCATAAAACAATATCAGATATTTATGATATTTATGAATAAATATTATAAATATTAAAAAATTATTTTTAATATATAAAACAATCTTTTAATTTAAATAAATCACACTTTAGACTTTAAGTTCCACAAAAATTTTACCCACGTGATATGTTGGGCAGAATTATGGAATTTAGCCGAAATTATAAGTTTCCCACTTGCTATAAAACATTATTTCGAGTTGTAAATTTTATCACAACTCATTCCTTACCTATAATTACCTTTTCAACTTATGATTTCTAAAATTTTCAAAACCAGAGGAGATACTGACTTTAGAAAAGAAGTTGAAAAAGATGAAGCTATCGAAAATGAAAAAAAAAATGTTAAAAGATGGAACTTTCAAAAAATGAACCAGAAGATAATGGCTCTTGAAAGAAGTTGGAATGATGAACCAGAAAAAAGATGGTTCTTTTTGAAAAAAAATGAACCAGAAGATAGTGGTTCTTGAACTTTTCGAAAAATGAACCAGAAGATAATGGTTCTAGGAAAGAAGTTGAAAAAGATGAAGCATTCGAAGAGGAAAAAGATGGAACTTTTCAAAGTTGAAAAAGATGAAGCTATCGAAAATGGAGCAGAGCGAAAAAAATGAAACGTTTCGAAAAATAAACTTGAAGATATGATAGTTCTAGAAAGCGATGTTGAAAAGGTTGACTTACCTTTCAATTTTAAATAGGAAAAAGAGTGATAGTCTTATCATATTCTTTTTATAAGATCTGTAGTGAAATTCCTTACCCTTTAATACACATATACGTAAAACATTCAAGAGTGGTGTACAATCTGCTCGACAAATAATTATGTCATTCAGATTCCTACTATGTTCTGATTGTTTACATTATTTCTTTCGGTAGAAAACCTTTCAATTGAAGGGACGGTCGTTTAATAATAATAATCATAATAGTTATATTAGTCATAAAAGTTACATTATCTATCTTTATTATATTTATTATAGTTTATTATCAAAATAAAAAATTATCTAAATTCATAAACTCTTAATTTCTAATCCTATTCTATTAATCTCTAAATCACATTTATTTAATAATTGAATCACTTAAATTGATATAATGTTTTGTAGAAGTTGAACTAATAAAATTGAAAGGTTCGATGTGAACGCACCAAGTCAAGTTTTAACGCCCAGAATTCAAAACACATTTGCTACTCTAGGATTTACTGTAAATAAAGATAAATTCAATGAACCTATAATAACACAATTAAAAATTAAGATAGATCAAAAAATTGTTAATGTAATTGCATATATACAAAATAAGTTTTCATTACGTCTCCCGCGTTTTGCAAAGACAATTCAAAAAGTCACGTTAACATCACACGTCTTCCTTAGTTCAAAAATCAATCTTATCGATTAAATTGAATGTCTACCAAGATCAAAGAAACTTCCATCAAACAGTGTATGTATAAGCAGATTTGAAAAAGGTCGAGTCCAAATATCATGAATTTATTGTTCGAATTCGTTCTCTATTTTATGTCAAGAGAATTTACGGGGGGGAACGATTAATAAAACAAATTTATTAATTATATATATTATAACGAAAGAAAAGTTAAAAAATCATTTTTCAACTTACTACCTTTGGTAACGCTATAACTTGTAATTCATTTTCATATATTCCCTTATTTGCTTAATAATCTCTGTTTTTTTCTTGTGCTTTTTGCAATTGTAATTCTCCGTTTTTTTCAGTAGGACTCACAAAACAGGACAGTTCGTTTCCTTTTATAGGAACAAACAACTGTTAAGAGTTTGTTTCTCTATGAACTATGGGATTTACCTATCTCACCAGGTTCAAGTAATTCTAACTCCTTGAACTTGATTTGATCGTCGGCTCTTATAACTAGATTTTTTTTTTTAAAAAAAAAAAAAGCGTGAGAATAAGACCATAAACCACGCGAATTCTTATAAATTTAAAAATATTATTATGTCCCGTATGATATTACCTTTTCCATCTATGTCATGGACCTTATAGCTAAATCAATCCTTCTTTATAACATTTACCCATTTTTCTAAATTAGATCTCCTGTATGGATATATATCTATATTTGTGTTCCGCCTTCCTTATTGAAATTTTCCTCTATCTTAAGCCATTATAAACTAATTTAACAATACATATAAAGAATATTTATCACAACGAGCAATTAAACATTCTGTATAATTTTTCAGAAACTATAACATAAAATAAAAAAAAAAACAGATCTTTTAATTGTTGTTCCATACACATTTATAATTCCGGTATGGGAGCAAGGTGTTGAAAAAGGTTTAAGTGACGCTTGTTTAAATATCAGAAAGCATTTCGAAGTAAGGGTATCAGAATGCTATTTTTAATAAATAACAATTGACGCAATCATTATTAATTAGAATTATATCATTTAATTTCAAGATGAATGAAAAAAAAATATATTACCAGGTGATAGATTAATTATGGTGTCTTCAATTTAAGCAAATCACACTGGAACATATAAATTGAATTACGTGGATGTGGGCTTTCTCAGAAGCGGAATTTTTCGGGACTTTACTGGTCAATACAATTTTGATACCAATGAAGCTACCTAAACAGATGATGATATTGAAATGATAGAGGGATTACAAGGAATCAGATTCAGCACCGAGAAATACTGGGATAAAAACTAAGATAAGAAACCGAAAATTAATTAATAAATCAATAAGATAGAATTCAAACTTACTATCACGCTAAAATTGGTCATCATAGATATTATTATGGGTTAGTGAAAATTGACGCATTCTAACCTATGATAAAAAGACATTAATATATTATAATGAAGGTAAGGAAAATGTAAATATATTTTTATTACCATTCGGAGTTCAATATAAAGCTTAAAATTTCAATGCACAATCTTAGACGGAATTTAGCACATTGCCACCACCGTAAATATCAACCTGATTAATATTTATTGTCTAAAACTTCTAATACAAGAATTTCTCGAACTTATGTAGTACAACAACCTATAGGTAGATATTTTAACGATCCGGTGGGTAAACGAGATCTGCATAAAAATAATTTGAATATTATATCATCATTAAGAGAATTGTAATAAATCAATTGAATAACTAACCAATTACGCTCCGTTTAGTTGATACTTTCAAAAATCCTTTAATCCTCAATGAGAACTCTAATTTGTATCATAAATTGGAATTCGTTTTCCAAACCTTTAATTTTTCTTTCATGACGATGATGAATTCCATGAAAATTGATTAATTTAATATCTCGTTCAGATAATACACTTATTGAAGTGCCTTCTAAACCTCCTACAATTGACCCTCATTAAATAAATTTTCTATATTTTTGATCACACTACTTTGAAAGTTCATCCTTATGCAAAAGCCATTTTTGTGAAGAAGTTCAGGAATTATGATAGAAGTATCTTGACGATACACGACACTAGATCCATATATTTACAATTGATCAATATTTATAATACAATTTGTAAAATAATAATAAAAAAAATATGCGCACAAACCATGCTGTTCCTCGATAAATCTAGACGCTACAACTCTCATATTATCCTAATATAAAGTAATCCGACCAAATGACGTTAAAACACATTGCCCGAATACTTTTAGGAAGTATTGCCAATTTAACACCATTCCAAATTCCGGTGCAAATTTTCGGTTTCTAAATGTCCAGTGTTATAGATTTTGATGCAGAAATTTAGCAATGTATAATCTCAGCAAAGATTTCATTAAGCATTTATATGACCTTTTCAACGTGAAAGAATATTAACCTACTATCATTTCTGATTTTGACTTGAAAGATTATTTACCAAAAACGAAATTACGAAGAGGAACATTTGAATTTAATTTCCAAAAGAGCTGCAACTTTGGCATCAATTGAATTTTTCCATAGCACCTTGTAATAACTAGGGAACGGGACCGTTGTTAAGTCTGGAGCAAGTGTAAAAGTAACCAATCACGTATCGACTCAATTTTTGGGCGGGCGGACATGCGGACATCTGGAGTCATACTGCGTAGAATTATATAGTCCTTCGCTACGCTCCGGACTAACAAACCAATAATTACGGTTCTGAAAGTTGATACAACATCTCAACATGAGGCCCATTTAGTTGCACGAGAGACAACAATAAATGTTGATCTGATCAAAGACAAAATAATCTTATTTTAATAAACAAATTGTCGTTCCAGATCATATAGTGATAATAATTGAATCCTGATTTTATCGCCAAAAGATTCAATGGTCTATTTTGAATGTCTTTGTTGTAGAGATTTCTGCTGATTTTCCAATTGGTTGTTGTGAAAGAAATATTTTTTATTTTATTGTTTCAACTTGAGAATTCCAAGATATTCTGTTAGTCAAAAGAATAATAAGTTAATGAAGAGACTCCAATATAAAATCTATTAAGAGAATTACGATATTTTATTACCTTTTAAATATCTGATTCTACGAGTTATCTCTTGCTTAAGTTTCTAAGTCATTACGGAAATTCCAGCAATTGGGTTCGAGCGATAGAATTATATCTAAAAATGTAATATATTGCAATAGAGCAAAACCATTGAACTTATAGCTATAATAATCGAATGCTCATAAAGAAGAGAGCAAATTCTGAAATAAAGAAATATGTAAATAAAACAACAGTCATTACAATAAAACACATGCGGATTTTGTCAAGCACATAGTTACTGAATGTTGACACTATAATGTATTGTGAAGGTTTTTTTAAATCAATATATTTTCAAAATTTACTAATCACGTGCTTTAATACGCAAATGACATCATAACGCTTACAAAGGTGAAGTTGATTAAAGCCTACATATGGTTAAATTGTGTATTTTCTATTTCCTCTCAATTTATGAAAAAATGTGATAACGATAAAAATCAAATAATTAGCTGATTTTATTTGAAGCCCAAATAGGTCTTCACAAAGAAAATTCCTACATGGAACTTATGTCAAAATTTTTTATATTACCTAATTTTTCTTTGAGCTTTTTCTTGAAGGTTCAAAATATACAACAGTAGGATAAATCTTGATCAAATTATTGAAGAATCTGAATCAGTGAAGATAACTTAAGGAGAAATACCTATTCAGTAAGTATATCCATCAGTATTTATTATTGTAGTAACTGAAGCTTATAATTTAAAAGTAGCTCAAATCGTTCTATTCTGTTAATAGCTAAAAGATCTGGAGGGGGTATTCATTTCTGAATTATTTATTGACGAATTGATCTTATATATAAGTTGATCATTTCACAAATTTTAATCATAATTAAAGAGTCAATTCTTATAATATCACTTGTTTTTTTAGATAAATAACATTTAAGGCATGATATTCTTAAAGAACTAGCATTATGTCTTTTGTTAAATCAGAAATCACTTGTTGAAGCATATGAACTTGATAGATACATTCGCAAGCAGCCCTTCCTTCCTATCACACCTTTAACTTTCTCACTTGTTTTGATTTCTATCTTCTTTTAATGCAAATATATTAATCCAACTTTTAAATTCATCTCAAACTGATGAAGGCTTGTTCGAAGATCAATTTCAAAAGCTCATCTGATTCATTATTGTTATAATTTTAAAAGATTTTATTAGATATTATTATAAAAAATATTTTGCATAAAAATAAATAATAAAGCTATCGTGATTTACAATTAGCTATTATATATGAAGATGGATAAAAATAAAAATTATAGAATTTATAAAAGAATCTGCTAAACAAGGCTCACAATAAATTAAATAAATGAATTTAAATAACAAATTTACCTTTTCATGATTTTCATGATTTAAAATTTTGATCAGCATAATTGAGAAAATTTGAACGATTACTTTTGTTCACCTTTTTCGTTCGCACAACGTAATACTTTGTGCACCCTTGTTTTATTTATAAGCCCACTATCGAATTACGCGTTACCAGATTTCGGACGCGTCTTTTTATTTTTAAGATACACTTGCATTTTTTAAACTTTTAAGCTTAAAATAAAACTCTTCAAAGAAAAATTTTCTTTAAATTTACATCTGGTAAGCCATACGTTTTTATTACACTAAATTTAGTAATCATATCCTCTTTAGGATAAATGAATATCGTCTTCCTGTCATTAAAATCTCGTTTCATGATACTCAGAAAAACAATAATGCATTTACAAGACTTTTGCCTTGAAGTTTTGGTAAACGGGCAACCTTTAACAGAATACAATCTTCCGATTGATGGATCTAATGTAAGTTTACAATAATATTTCATTTTTAAAGAGAAAATTTAAAATAAAATAAAACTAAAGAAAAAAATGAAATAATCCCTTGCATTGTAAATAGTTGAATAGTACATGCGTTTCTTATGTTAAGGATCCATTATCACAACAAGATCAATACAAGTAAGTTACTTTTTACAATATATATATATATATAATAATTTTGTTTTTTTAAAAAAATAATAATAATATAATGATATTTACCATCTATTCATCTTTTCATCATTTAAAGTAATTTCATAACATATATTCCCGTTACAACCCAAGGAGAACGCTATACAATTAGGACTGAAGCCAAACAAGCTAATATGTCCAACATTATTATCTCACGATTATATATAGATGGAAATTATTATCAAATTCAGCATATACACCAAAAAGAAAGCTCAAGAACAATTTCATTCTTCGTTAATTATGAGAGAACTAAAGTCTATTACTTTAAATTCGCAAGCACTTCTCAATTTGATAAAAAAGATGGAGTGTTCAAAGTCCCTTATCCTGTTAATAAACATCCTAATCAGCTCAACCAAAATCAAAGTGTATATGGGAAACCCGGAACAATCACCGTTTGTTTTTTCAAAGGGATTATTGTTGACGAAAGTGATTTATTGAATAAACCAGAATTCGAAGTCAACCAAGTAAAGATTACAGCGTCTGACAATAAGAATATGGATATTAGTTATATCACTGGGTTTGATGCCATGGATGCAAACATTCCAACAGCTACGGTGACAAAAATAGTTGATATGAACCCTATAGCTGTTTTACATCTCAACTATCGTTCTGCAGATTGGCTGGCAAAAATAGGATTCCCTTTACCAACTTTAAGTACCAATCAAGGAAAAAAGGAAGAAGTAATTAATAGGAATGTTGTTATGGAACAAATGAAAGAAATTCGTGAGGTACAAGAAAAAATTATGGAAATTGATAACACGAATGAAGCTCCAAAGAAGGTATCAAAAATCGAAAAAATCAATGTTGAAAAAAAAATATATCAAGCTCCAAAGGTATCGAAAGTAACCAAAAAAACCAATGTCGAAAAGGCTCCAAAAGTATCGAAAGAAACCGAAAAAACCTATGTTGGAAAAAGAATCAAAAAAGCTCCAAGAGTATCGAAAGAAACCGAAAGAAACTATATTGGAAAAAGAATCAAAAAAGTTCCAAAAGTATCAAAAGGAATCTTGGAATTTGGACCAACCAATGTTGGAAGTAGAACCTATGCAACTCCATTGTCATTTATACAAATTATGCAAAATTTTAAAAAATCTTACGATGCTGTTAAAAGATCTCAAGAAATTACTCAAGAGACATCAACAATTAATGAAACCAACATTTTGCAAAAGGATAATAACTTGAAAAGAAGTCATGATGAAATGAGTAAAAAATGAATTTGACGAGAAGGAATGTAATGTCTCGATAAAGTATATTTGTTGCAAAAAGTTAAATCATTAGAGATTCTTATAAACTTGTATAATTCTCTTAGTATTTTTTTATACTTATTGTTACTATGAAATTTTAATTATTGAATTATTATAAATATTTTGATTAATTAAATTTATTACATAATTAAATCATCAAAGAGAATGTTAAAAATAAATTTTAAATGTAATTTTTATTGCTTGAATAACTTTTCATTATAAGAACTTCAGATACTTTTAAAATTTGATAAAGTTATTGATCTTTAGAAATATTTTGATATAATGGATCGAACTTATGTAATGTAATTTATCATATAAAATTTTTTTATGCATTTATTCATACTATTTAAAAATATAAAATTTATTATAAATATTATTTATTATTTCTAAATCAAATGGATATGCAATAAAATAAAGATAAAAAAAAAAAAATGATTATATTATTTTAATAGAATTGTTATAATCATTAAATTATATTTATTAAAATCATAAATATCATAAAAAATATATAATATTATTTTTTAATATTAACAATTTCTAAAAATTATAAATTATTTAGTAATAAAATAATATGTAATATTTTAATTCTTAATATAGTAAAATTATAAATCATATAATTTTATAATTTTTTATTTTATAATTTGGATTAAAATATTTTTTTATTAAATATAAAAAAATTAAATATATAAAACAATAAATAAAAAAATATTAAGGATCTATTCAATCTAGTGTAATAAACTAAAAAGTTATCTTTTAGATCACATGATTTATTATCTTGTCACAAAATCCATCCAATCATCTTTAATTGGCAGATCCTCAAAATCTACCCAATCAACCAAAAATTGGCAGATCTGTAGAATATGCCAAATATGCCAT